CAATCAACAAATTATTACAACAAATTGAAGCAATCAAAAGATTTTGAAAAAGATTTTGAAGTCATATAAGAACTCCATTGAAAAATTAAGGGTACATATATTCCTTGCTGGACTAGATGATAATTTTGAGCAAGTTCGTGGAGAAATATTGCTCAAGGATGACCACCTGATTTACAACAATGCTATGCATTGATCCGGAGAGAGACAGTCCAACAAACAATGTTGAAAACAAAAGATATGATTTCTGATTTCACAGCTATGATGACAAAGAAGCAACCAACAAATTATTACAGTAAATCGAAGCAATCAAAAGATTTTGAAAAAGGTAACTACAAGTGTACTCAATGTAATAAGGATGGACACACCAAGGAACGATGCTATATATGAAATCATAGGATACTCGGGGATCACATTCGAGCATTGAAGAAGAATTCAAAAAGAAATCCAACTGATGTTGCTGTAACTGCCATTGACAAAGAGGAAGACAAAGACATGATGCTTGCTACAATCACAGGTAGTGATGATTCCAATGGTAATGCTTTAATAAACACATCTACCATTCTGAATAACGCATGGATAATTGACTCTGCATATTCTGAGCATGTGACTTTTGATGTTAGACAGATTAAAAATCTTAAACCTTCCTCACAAAAAAGTATTTCCACAGCCAATGGTAGTAAATCCACTATCATTGGAGAAGGAAATGTCTCTATTTCAAACAATTTGAACCTTGATACTGTCCTTGTTGTTCATTCTCTTAAATATAACTTATTATTAGTCTCACAAATAACCAAAGCTTTTTTATGTATTGTAATTTTTGGGTCTGAATCTTGTGTTTTTAAGGACATTCAAACGAGGAAGATGATTGGTTGTGGTATTAGGCGAGGAAGGTTGTATTACCTGGACCTGACAGAAAAAGATTCAAAGAGACTTGGTCAAGTGCTAGCAATAAAAGGGTCTCAAGAAGTAAGACAAAGCGAGGATATTTGGTTATGGCATAAGTGTCTAGGACATGCATCTTTTGGTTATATAAAGAAATTATTTCCAAATATATTTGACCAAGTAGACACTTCAACTTTTTATTGTGATGTTTGTGAGCTTGCAAAGAGTCACAAAACATATTTTCCTTTAATTTCAAATAAAAGTTCTCTTCCTTTTATGATTATTCATTCTGATGTATGGGGTCCATCTAAGGTTACAACGTTGGGTGACTCAACGTGGTTTGTAATGTTTATTGATGATTGTACTTGAATGACTTGGTCATATTTGATGAAGTTTAAAAGAAGTTGGAGGACTATTTCAAAAATTCTGCAAAATATTTGAGACTCAGTACAAAGCACAAGTTCAGGTACTGCGCAATGACAACGGAGGAGAATATATGCAAACAGAACTTCAACATTTTTTAGTAGCCAAAGGAATTGTTCATCAAAGATCTTGTCCAAATACTTCACAACAAAATGAGATGGCCGAACGAAAGAATCATCATCTATTGGAGGTGGTCTTAGCTGCACTGATTGAAGCTCACATGCCAGCAATATATTGGGGAGAAGCTCTCACATATGCAATATACACTATCAACCGAACACCGTCCAGGTCTCTCGAGTATAAAATACCTATTCAATCACTTACAGATGCAGTAGCAAGTCCTAAAATTGTTGAACTAACACAGAGTTTTTGGTTGTGTTGCTTATGTTCACTTACAAGCGTCAGAGAAGTAAGTTGTCTCCTAGAGCTGAAAGGTGTGTTTCTTGGCTATGCGGATCACCAGAATGGATATCGGTGCTACAATCCACAAACCAAGCAAATATTTACTACTATAGCTGTAGTTTTTCATGAAACCTTGATATATTTTTCCCCCGAGTCTAAAATTCAGGGGGAGAATTATGATAAAGTTCAGACTTTTGTTCCTCAAGAAATTGATATTGAGGTCAGATTGGAGAAAAAAAGTTATAAAGGTGTATCAGGAAATGATGAAAGTGTGCAACAATGTGATACTCAACAACATGTCGAGATCGAAAATTTGCCTGTTGATGCTTATGATATACCACACCAATCGTCCCCTCAAGAACCTAATACAGAAAAAGGAATTCTGCTAGATCGTGTCACTAGAGGTATCCCTAAGCCTACTTATGATCCTGACCTCACCAGTAAGACAAGATACCCTATGAGTAATTATATTTGTAACCAGAATTTGTCTAACTCAAATATCGCATTTATAAGTCAATTATCTATTGTATCTATTCCTAACAGTGTGTAGAAAGCGTTAGCTGACTCCAAGTGGAAGGATGTTATGAATGAGGAGATGAGATCCTTGCAAAGAAATAAAACATGGGAATTGGTAGATTGTCCAGTTGGAAAGGAACCAATAGGATGTCGATGGGTGTATATTGTGAAATTTAATGCAGATGGCACAATTGAGAGATTCAAAGCTAGATTAGTGGCAAAGAGGTACACACAAGCATATGAAGTAGATTACACTGAAACGTTTGCTCCCGTAGCCAAAATTAGTACAGTTCGAGTATTGTTATCTCTAGTTGTAAACCTTGATTGGTCCTTATAATAATTTGACGTAAAAATGTCTTCTTACACGGGGAATTGTCTGAAGAAGTTTATATTGAGCTACCAGAAGAAGGTGGGATTCTGAATACACATAGCAAGAACGTATGCAAGTTGAAGAAGTCATTGTATGGACTAAAATAATCACCACGAGCATGGTTTGGTAAATTCACCAAGTCAATGTTTGCTTTTGGATATCAACAGAGAAACCAAGATCATACCTTGTTTCTAAAGAAAAAGGAAGGAAATATTATAATTCTTATTGTCTATGTTGATGACATGATAGTTACGAGAAACGATCTAGAGGAAAGCAATGCATTGAAAGAGTACTTGAAAAAGGAATTCGAGATGAAGGATCTTGGTCCTTTGAAGTATTTTCTTGGAATTGAGGTCTCAAGATCAAAGTCAGGTATTTTTCTCTCACAACGAAAGTTTGCATTGTATTTACTGAAAGAAACTGGAATGATCGCATGCAAACCAGCAAATTCTTCAATTGAAGGGGGATTGAAGTTGTGCATTGAAGAAGATCAAACCCCAACTAACAAGGGAAGATATTAGAGAATTTTAGGGAGATTGATGTATCTCTCACACACCAGGCCAGATTTAGCTTATGCTCTTAGTGTGGTTAGCCAGTTCATGCACAATCTAGATGAAAAATACATGGATGTTGTTATACGGATTTTAAGGTACATAAAAGTTGCTCCTGGAAAAGGAGTTATGTTCAAGAAGAACTCCAACTACAAGGATGTGATGGTTTATACTGATGTAGATTGGGTAGGTGCTCTTGATGATAGAAGATCAACCTCTGGATACTTTACATTTGTAGGAAGTAATCTTGTCACATGGAAAAGCAAGAAGCAAAAAATTGTAGCTAGATCCAGTGCAAAAGCTAAACTTAGAGGAATGGTTCTTGGACTTTGTGAAGGTTTGTGGCTCGGACTACTTCTCCAAGATTTAGGGTATATACATAAACGTCTCATTCAGTTGTATTGTGATAATAAAGTTGTGCACGACATTGCTCACAACCCTGTCCAACATGATCGGATGAAGCATGTGGAGGTTGATAGATTTTTTAAGGAAAAACTTGATAAAAATATTATGGAATTACCAAATATTCAATCTAAAGATTAGTTGACAAACATTCTTACCAAAACTGTGACAAGTTAGATTTTTAGGAGATTATTGGACAAGTTGGAAATGTATGATATCCATTTACCAACTTGAAGGAGAGTATTGAGATAAAGATATTTGATTAACTAAATTATAGGTTTGTATAGCGGTACAAAATATTGTATAATCGAACTTCTTTTATTTAGTCTCGATTTGTTGGAGTAAAATACTATAAAATTATAGTATCTATGTACAAAAATAATATAAATAAAATTATAGAATGAATTTTATGTTTTACAAGTTGCTCTTTTTTTTTCTCCGATCTTCCATTGCATTAGACATTATGAGGTTCATTAAAACAACTAATGGTGGCTACAAAAATCAATCAATTTATTTAATAATAAACTTGTTATATATGACTAAATGACCCATCAGAATCACTTCAAAATTTGAAGTAACTAAATTAAATTTTTTAAAACATAAAGCAATAAGACTAAACAAAATTGCTGACTGAATTTATGATTATACCGATTCAATCTAATAAAACAAATTGATTAAATATTCAAAGCCAAAACCTTGAAAAACTGAAAAAGCCAAAATTATAAAGGTTGGATTTTTTATTACCTCAAGTTCGTTAAAATTGTATGCTTAAGATTGATGATTGTGTTTGAGGTATTATTATAGTTTTGAAGTTGGAATTTGAACTTAATACTATTTTGTTCTTCATGGTTGTGTGTCAAAGAATATTTGGGTAAATTTAAAAGCGGGATATATTTATAAATTATCTTTTGCTTATGACTATTAAATGATATGATTTTTTTTAATGTAATGAATCATATATTAATTTTCTTGGTTTTGCAAATAATTATATATCCTTACCATTCTTTCATGCTCTTTTGTTACTTTGGACAAAAAAAAAGGATCAGCGAACCGATTTGAATATGATATATATTACAAGATCAATGCTCCTGTCTGGACTTTGCCACATTAACTGAAGCAATTGTATAGAAAATACTACGAAAGTTGAGAAGACTTAGATAAGGAAATGAATAATAGAAATCAATTTTCAAGAACATAGAACTTTTATTGAACAACTTTGACTAATAAGATGATAAACAAAGATTTTGCGAGGAGGAAGAAGAAGTATTTGTAATTGTATAGCATATTTATTATATATGTATGGACGTTTATAATGATATTACTGTAAACCGACATATATGCACGTGCATATATATAAGTAGCATGCACGAATGTAACGTCCTTGAGTTTTGTTCCGAAGATACACAAACACACACACCTAAGATACGAAGTAAGACAACAGAATACGATCTTGAATGCCATGCTTAATTGCAAGTGAAGTTGTTTGCATCGCGACCACAGCTGCGAGCTATGCTCCTCATACGAGAGGTTAAACTAGAAGGGGTCAGTTCAGGGAACGCGACCTTGCCATTGGCGCACATGCAGCTAGCGGCTTGACTAGGAGCAAGAAGAATGAAGATCGAGCAACAATTTTCTTTTTGCCCAGGCAATGGTAATATTGAAGAAAGAAGGTTGGTGCAAATACGCAAATCGATACAGATAGATGGTAATTGTGGAGGTGGAGGAGGTGGCGTAACAGGTTTGGGTGGAGGTGGGGGTGGTGTAACAGGTTTAGGTGGAGGTGGTGGTGGAGTAATGGGTCGGGGTGGAGGTGGTGGTTGAGTAATGGGTCGGGGTGGAGGTGGTGGTTGAGTAACGGGTGGTGGTTGGGTAACAGGTGGAGGTTGTGTAACAGGAGGGACGGGAGGTAGACTTGCGGGTGGGGGTGGTTTGAGTGGAGGTTGTGATCGTGGTGGTGAGATAGGAGGCAATAAAGGAGGTGGAAGTGGTGGTTGAGGTGGTCTAATTGGAGGTTGTAATCCTGGTGGAGAGGTAGGAGACAATAGAGGTGGAACTGGAGGTTGAGGTGGTCTAATTGGAGGTTGTGATCGTGGTGGGGAGAGAGGAGGGAATAGAGGTGATGAAATAGGGGGTGGAAGTGGGGGTTGGGGTGGTCTGATTGGAGGTTGTGGTGAGACGGGAGGTAATAGAGGTGATAAGACAGGAGGTGGAAGTGGTGGTTGGGGTGGTCTGATTGGAGGTTGTGATCGTGGTGGAAGAATAGGAGGCAATAGAGGTGATAAGACAGGAGGTGGAAGTGGTGGTTGGGGTGGTCTGATTGGAGGTTGTGATCGTGGTGGAAGAATAGGAGGCAATAGAGGTGATAAGACAGGAGGTGGAAGTGGTGGTTGGGGTGGTCTGATTGGAGGTTGTGATCTAGGTGGGGAGATAGGGGGCAATAGAGGTGATAAAACAGGAGGTGGAAGTGGAGGTTGGGGTGGTCTGATTGGAGGTTGTGATCTAGGTGGGGAGATAGGGGGCAATAGAGGTGATAAAACAGGAGGTGGAAGTGGAGGTTGGGGTGGTCTGATTGGAGGTTGTGATCTAGGTGGTGAGATAGGGGGTAATAGAGGTGATAAGATAGGAGGTGGAAGTGGGGGTTGGGGTGGTCTGATTGGAGGTTGTGATCTAGGTGGGGAGATAGGGGGCAATAGAGGTGATAAAAGAGGAGGTGGAAGTGGGGGTTGGGGTGGTCTAATTGGAGGTTGTGATTTTGGTGAGGAGATAGGAGGTAATAGAGGTGATAAGATAGGGGTTGAAAGTGGTGGTTGGGGTGGTCTAATTGGAGGTTGTGATTCTGGTGATGGTGATGGTGAGATAGGAGGTAATGATGGTGGTGAGATAAGAGGTGGTGAGTTAGGAGATAACGATGGTAGTGAGATGGGAGTTGGTGGGTCAGAAGGTAAGGATGGTGGTGAGATAAGAGGTGGTGATAAAGGTGATGGTGATGTAGGAGGTAATGACGGTGGTGAGATAGGAGATAATGATGGTGATGAAATAGGAGATGATGAGATAGGAGGTAATGATGGATGTGAGATAGGAGATGGTGAGTTAGGAGGTAACGATGGTAGTGAGATGGGAGTTGGTGAGTTAGGAGGTAATGACGGTGGTGTGATAGGAGATGATGAAATAGGAGGTAATGATGATGGTGAAATAGAAGATGGTGAGATAGGAATTGGTGAATTAGGAGGTAACGACGGTGGTGATATAGGAGTTTGTGAGTTAGGAGGTAATGATGGTGATGAGATAGAAGGTGGTGATAAAGGTGACGGTGAGATAGGAGGTGGTGATAAAGGTGATGGTGAGATTTGAGGTAGTGATGATGGTGAAATAGGAGATGGTGAGATAGGAGGTAATGGTGGTGGTGAGATTGGAGATAGTGAGATGGGAGGTAGTGATAAAGGTGATGGTGAGATAGGAGGTAATGATGATGGTGAAATAGGAGATGGTGAGATAGGAGGTAATGACGGTGGTGAGTTAGGAGATAAGGACGGTGGTGAAATAGGAGATAGTGAGATAGGAGGTAACGATGATGATGAGTCAGGAGAGGGTGAAATCGGAGGTATTGATGGTGGTTGGGTAGGAGATGGTGAGATAGGAGGTAGTGAGATAGGTGTCGGTGAGTTTGGAGGTAATGATGGTGGTGAAATAGGAGATGGTGGGATAGGAGGTAATGATGATGGTGAGATAGGAGTTTGTGAGTTAGGAGGTAATGACGGTTGTGAAATAGGAGATGATGAGATAGGTGGTAATGACGGTGGTGAGGTAGGAGATGATGAGATAGGAGGTAATGACGGTGGTGAGGTAGGAGATAGTGAGATAGGAGGTAGTGAGATAGGAGTCGGTGAGTTTGGAGATAATGATGGTGGTGAAATAGGCGATAGCGGGATAGGAGGTAATGATGGTGGTGAGATAGGAGTTTGTGAGTTAGGAGGTAATGACGGTTGTGAAATAGGAGATGATGAGACAGGAGGTAATGACGGTGGTGAGGTAGGAGTTTGTGAGTTAGGAGGTGATGATGGTTGTGAGATAGGAGATGATGAGATAGGAGGTAACGACGGCGGTGAGGTAGGAGTTTGTGAGTTAGGAGGTGATGATGGTTGTGAGATAGGAGATGATGAGATAGGAGGTAACAAGGGTGGTGAGGTAGGAGTTTGTGAGTTAGGAGGTGATGATGGTGGTGAGGTAGGAGTTTGTGAGTTAGGAGGTGATGATGGTGGTGAGATAGGAGATGATGAGATAGGAGGTAATGACGGTGGTGAGGTAGGAGTTTGTAAGTTAGGAGGTGATGATGGTTGTGAGATAGGAGATGATGAGATAGGAGGTAATGACGGTGGTGAGGTAGGAGTTTGTGAGTTAGGAGGTGATGATGGTTGTGAGATAGGAGATGATGAGATAGGAGGTAACGACGGCGGTGAGGTAGGAGTTTGTGAGTTAGGAGGTGATGATGGTTGTGAGATAGGAGATGATGAGATAGGAGGTAACAAGGGTGGTGAGGTAGGAGTTTGTGAGTTAGGAGGTGATGATGGTGGTGAGATAGGAGATGATGAGATAGGAGGTAATGACGGTGGTGAGGTAGGAGTTTGTAAGTTAGGAGGTGATGATGGTTGTGAGATAGGAGATGATGAGATAGGAGGTAATGAGGGTGGTGAGGTAGGAGTTTGTGAGTTAGGAGGTAACGATGGTTGTGAGATAGGAGATAATGACGGTGGTGATAAAATTGGAGGTGGTAAGAATGGTGAGATAGAAGGTGACGATAATGGTGATACTATAGGAGATATCACTGGTGATGTAATAGGTGGAGGTGGAGATGGAGATGGAGGTGGTGGTGGTGGTGGAGGTGGAACATGAGATCCTGGCTTTGGCGGTGGTTTGAAGGGTGGTTTGAAGGGTGGTTTGAAAGGTGGTTTGAAGGGTGGTTTGAAGGGTGGTTTGAAGGGTGGTAGTTTGGAATGTGGCGGTTTGAAAGGTGGTGGTAGCGGATGCGGATTGATGTTGGAGCTAACCATGGGAAAGAAAAGGAGGTAGAAGGAAAGGAGAAGGGCACCGGGTGCAACAGCACCCTTTGAAGCCATTTTCCTTTCTGTTTTTCCTTACTATGTCAAGTGTTGTTGTTTGTGATAACTGAACTTTGCCACAGATTTTATAGGGCAAGGGTTGGTAGATGCATGTGCTTTCATTTGTGTTTACTTTTTACATGGAATGAGTTAGTTTTCTTAAATTAAATTAAAGAAGGTTGAATTGGGCATATATAGGTTCCTAGAATCTTTAAAGTTTTGAAGTTCGCCATATTACTTAAGTATCTAATTTCTTATTTGAAGAAAGTGACCAAACAATGCCAAAATATTCTGCTTATATCTCTGTTTCTTTCCTTTTCTTTTGTTTCCTACCTTGTTTGTTGACTTTTATTGATTATGTTTTAGTTAGCTGAAATAAAAATGGTTGCGCAGTGACAAATATTATCTAACGCATATAATTAATTTTTATTTATGGTTTTATACTTGTTACAAAAATATATGCGATATTATTTTATATCATTACACAAGTAATTGGTGTATTTTGGGCTAACAATTTGAAAAATGTTAAACCTACACCCACTAAATACCCGTAATCTGATTTTTTATTTTATTTTAACTATTTATTTCCCACCTTTTCTAAGTATTATAAGAATTTAGCTAATTAACATGATTTAAGCGACCGTCTTTCGGTGAGTATAATTGTGAAACTAAATTTCACAAGCAACTATATTATTATTATTCAGACATCGCATCTAGCATTCGACTAATTAAGATTCGTTTTTTATTATATTTATTATGATAAATTCATATGGGAATAATATATTATTAATAAATAATAAATTCATATTAAAAAATAAAAGAATATAAAAAATGATAAATTAAAATTATAAATATATTTAATATTTATTAAGTTTAAAATGAAATCAAAATTATAAATATATATAAATAAATAAGTTATAAAACTTTAGAAGAAAGGAGAATCATGTCTTCCTCACCTCCCAAAACCTCCACTGTGAAAAACTAAATTATTATTCTTCTAAATGCTTTTATAAAATTTTAGGAAAAAAAAGATAAATAAATTGGATGAAAACAATTTAATTTACAATATAATTAAATTTTAGTCACTAAACTTTCAATTTACTATATAAAATGGATTTTAAATTTGAAATATAATTCCAAAATATACTTTTGAAATTATACAAGTATTTTTCAATACCTAATTAATTTAGATTCTTATAAAAAAGTTACAATAATCAATGAACTTGAATAAAAAAATATCATTTTAGAGGCAAGTAAACCAAATTTTACTGAATGATTGAAAAAGAGATATTCATTTATAAAGACGATCTCAGGCTTAAATTAGTATAAAAAAATAGAAATAATAATAATAAATCAATAAGATGTAATGATTTGTAGAAAGTAAATTGATCTTATTTATAAATCTTCTATCAAATTATTTAAAATAATAAATTTTAATTATAATAATTATTTTATTAATACAATATTATATATAATCGAGTAATTAATTATAGATAAATAAGAAAATACGAGGAGTTAAATTCTAGATTAAAAATATCACTCCATTTTTATTCAATAGATAGATTAAAATGACGTGGAACATTATATACATCATTCCATTCAATGCTGAAGGTATAATGGAATATATATATATATATATATATATATATATATATATATATATATATATATATATATATATATATATATTAAGAAGATAAATTTCCAAAAATAAGTGTAAGTTTATTAATGTTAATCGTATAGAAGGTTAATATAATGTGCTTTGGTGTAGAAAATACGAAATAGTTTAAATACAACAAATTTAAATTAAAGTACTTGTTATAGGCTGATACAGTATAATTGATAATTTTATGTATTCCTTCAATATATATTAATGGAAGCATATTAGACCTGCCTTCGACGGCAATGGTTTCCAAAGTGCATTTAAACTACATTTTGTTGAACCTTCCACAATTTATGTTTTTATGCCTAACCCTAACCCTAACCAGCTAAAGGATGTTTACTTCATATTGTTTGACTAAATATTTTATTTAATGCAATTTTATTAATGTAACTTTTTTAAAAAGTTAATATTTAATGTTCTCGCTATATTTGTTAATATATCTACTTAGTTTCTTTTATATATAATGGACCTTAATATTTAGAAAACTGTGTTAATAAATTATTTAGTTTTATTCTCTTAAGTTGGGGGCATGCAAGCATTAATGTCCAACTTGTCCAATAGATAATTAAATTGTTTAGTTGCAAGTAGCTTGATATAAAATCTACAAGTTGGATACTCTCAAATTGAATAATTTTATATAATAAATTGTTAAGTGTTTTGTATGTCAGAAAAAAGATGGGGCTTTTAACAATAGGAGGAGATAGAATTGAATAGATAGAGTGAGAGAGAGAGAGGTGAATGTTAGAGAGAATGTCTTTCGATTATTTATAGTCATGAAGTGATATTCAACCTCAACACTCAACAGAGGATTATGAGACCATGTTGTATCATTTTCAGACCGTGTTGTATTTGTTGGTATTCTATGAAACCAGTAATTTGGTAAGTTGAATGAAGCAACCACAAAATCATAGGTCACTGTCCCTTCAGTAATGAACCATGCACAAAGTAGCATACAATGTGGTCCTTTGGGGGGTCCTGCGTGAATCGAGGAAAAATACGAGTAACATATGACAATTAGGTGTAGTGTAAAACAAAGGTAAATTAGGTGTGCAATAAGTCGATGATATTTTTCAGGGTCATTGAGCAAGTAGATCCTCCGTCAATCATAATTGCTCATTTTCTTAATATTTGCTATCATTAACAAATAAGACACAATATTTAGTTTTATTCACCTATCTTCTTCTTTTTTATTTCTTTTATTAAACTTACCAATAAATTATCTTTTTTGTTTTTTCTTGCAGTTTTTTCTCTCCTCATAAGTTTATTTATTTCTTTTTCTCATCTTATTTATTTCTTGTTTTTCTATTTTTCATCTCATGTTTTTGCTCTTCTATCTACTCTCACTTATTCTTCAAATTAAAACTACTAAATTAAAAGTTAATAAAAATATATTAAATTAATCTTTTTAAAATTAACATTAAAACTAAAAAACATCAATTAATTATTTTAGAATTATAATAATGATGAATAATTTTATTTATAATAACAATAAATAATTAATTTAAAATATTGTAATAAATTTAATATTTATGAATTATTTTTTAATTTAATAATTTAATTTAGTTATAATTAAATTAAATTATGATAATTATTTAACTTAATTAATTTAAAAAATATTTATTAAAAAATAATTTAAAATAAATATTAATTTTTTTAAAGATAAAAAAATACATGATATTAATAATTTTATTCTCCATTATTAAATTTTGTACATGAATAATAAATAAATATAAATAGATAAATAAATAAACTAATATATATTTTATTTAATTAATTTTTATTTTAAAATATATTATTTAATGTGGTTAAAAGATTCAACTTTAACCTCCATTGATTTAGTTTTATAAAGTATTAAGTAATTTGGCACAAAAAGTACAGATAATAAACACTGTGCGCATATAATTAATATAATAGTACTTATTTATTTTTTATAAAAAGAAGTAGAGGAGTATATATCAATGGAAATTTTTTTAGACTCAATTCATTAGAGATTCTGCAAACGTAAAGCTGATGTTTGCACGGTAAAAATATAAGTTAAAATAAATAAATAAATATATATATATATATAATTATTTTTATTAATATTTATTTAAATAAAATATAAATTTTTTTTTAAAGAAAATTTAATTTCGAAAATGAAAAATTAAATATTAATATTCTATAATATCGTAAAATTAATTAAAATAATATTTTATTATTATTTAATATATAAATTTTTTAAATCAAAATACTGCTATTAAAATAAAAAGATAATATATTTTTAATATTTATGTATTTAACAGACATTATTTCTCTACTCTTACTTATTTATGCATGAAAATTTTAATATATTTAATGTAATTATTAAAAACAATTAAAATTCTAAATTAAAAATTCATAAAATGGTTTTATATTTTTATCATTATATAATCAAATTAAAAATACATTCAAACTATTATAATTATTTTCTAATAATTTAAGTAATAATGAAATAAAAACTATACTAAATCGTTATTAAATTTTTAAGGTATTTAAAATTATTTATTATTTTATGTTAAAAATTTCAATATTTAAAATAAGTATTTAATAGATAATTATTAAAAAATTTAATTTTAAGTTAACTAAATTAAAAGTGTAACTATATATAAAATAAATAACTTTTTTAATAAATGTTTATTCATTTTAATTATAAAAACAAGGGAAAAAATCATGATATATTTATATAAATTAATAAAAATGACTAAAATTTGATATGAGAGTTATTATTTTAAAATATTATCTATGGTTAAAGAAAGAGAAATAATAATAATAATTAGGAGATGTGAATATAAGGACTCATCATTGATAAAGCGAAAATCATCACTAATTTAAAACAATAAATAAAAAATGGAATTTGAGGAAACATGAATGGAAAGGGGAAAGAAATAAGGGTTTTGATATTCACTAATAGCATTTAAAATTGAAATAATCCAAAAATTAAATCGAACATTAATAAAAAAAACATAAATAGATTAAATTAATTTACTTATTTTTATTTTTATTTAAAAATTAATCGATTTGATTTATTTAATAGTGAATAATCAATTCAACCAAATCAAAATTATAATATATATTTTTAAAATTTAAATATAAGATGACAATTTTTTTTATGAGTAAATTACTTAATTTCTTATAATTCAAAACATATATTTATTATTTTTTATATTACATGTGAAAGTATATATGAAAATAAATCAAAACAATAAATATCACAATTTATATATAATATTTTTATAATATATTTTTTTATCATAAAATGTTTAACAAATAATAAAAAAATGGCTCAAATCAAAACGGACCGAACACCCCTAATTTCTACTTCGTTATTTCTTCATCCGTTCACATATTCCACCATCAACCATAATTTATTTGTGGTTTTCATTGTGGTAGTGAATTTCATGTTGCATTGTTATTATTATTTCTTTTTCTTACTTTCTTTGTGTCGCAGAGATAGATAAGGAGAGAGAAGTGGTGAAGGAAGAAGAGGGGTATTGTGGTGACAATGAAGAAGGTAGCCTCTCTTAATATTCGTAAGAGAGAAAAAAATTAGGTTTTAACAATTTTCAACTCTTACTTTTTAATCTAGAAAGTGTGACATAGTTAACTATAACAATATATACAGTGCAAAATTAATTTTAAGGGTTTGTTCCAAAATTAAAAAAAAAATACCATAAACGAAAATAGAAAAAGAGTGAAAAATATATTTGTTTGTATCATATGTATGAATAAAAAATAATATAAAAATGAAATAAAGTGTTTATTTTAAAGTAATAAATAATTAAATTAAAACTAAATATTTATTTAATAATAAAATTATTTATATAATTATTATTTAATTTTTTATTAATAAAATAAATTTTAAGTTAATATCTTTACATTAATATCTATTTATTTAATAATATGTGTTTTAATATGTAATTATGAAAAGTTTTTATTATAATTTTTTTCTGAAATTTATTTTGAATTTAAATTAATAAAATAATATTTTATTCAAAAAAATATATTAAATCATTAATTTAATTTTTATAATATTTTCACTTTTACAAAATTTTATTAAAATGATAATTATATATATATATATATATATATATATATATGATAATTCATTTGAGTTTTGAGATTAATTTTATAAAATAATATTTTCTTATATTTTTCACTCTTTTTTACTCTTGAAAACGGAAAATGACACATTTTTTATTACTAAACAAGAAAAATACTTACTTTCTACACATTTTCCAACATTATTTACTTTTCATTCTCTTTTTTTATAATCAAGAATATAAGAGTTGTTAAATCTTTGTCAAACTGGTCCTTCAAAATCAACAGGAAAGTAAATTGTGTTTTTTTTTCTAATGAATAATATTTATTTTGGATTAATTTTTCTTATAAACAATCTAAAAGATGCAATTTTTTTTTAGAAAAACACACTAATAAATTAATAACAAAAACTTTTCTCAAACCATTAATTTTAAAGATATAAAATTCAATAGTACAAGTAACATATGTTGTTGTTACCATAATCATTAAAAATTAATAAATTAATAATGATTTTGAAATTTTATAATAAATCATCAATTATATTTATAATTATTATTATATGTCAAAATCTTTTATTTATTTATTAGGATAAATCGATCCATCATTTTAATAAACTTACACGTGTTCACTACTCTTTTATTATGGTATCATTTTAACAAAACTAAAAATTTCTATTGTTTTCTCATTGTTGTTCCTCGCATTAAACTTAAAAGATTTTATTGCTTCTTTCTTATTGTTTCGGTCACAATTTCGACGTGTTTAGCAAATATTATTTTATACTTTTTCCTTAGCACATTATTGTTTTTTTATTCTTGTTTTTTCTTTACATTATTGTTCTTTCTTTTGATGGAGAAAAATATTTAAGAATAAGAGAAAGAGGAAGAAAAGAATAGTTGAAGCGTGATGAACAAAGGAAAAAATGTTGGAAAAACAATAATAATAATAATAATCCTGATTTTGATTCTAACGATCAAACATAAACATAATCTCATACTCGATAAACATCGTCAGAACCTGAATGCGAAAGCGTACTCGAATTAACCATAATGATGATGTCTTTGTAGAAGCATCTGTATTGATCTTATGGTCTTCCACTCGAAGAAGCACTCGTATTTCCCTCTTGATTTTCTCTCTTGATGGGGATAGAAAGAAAGGAACAGGAATGAAACTTACGTTCTGTCTATGTGCTCCCAGAAGGGGACCATGACCTTTTAGATAACCAGAATTAGGTTAATTACTTAAGTTTTAGTATTTCCAATTTGGCCCCTCATCAAATTAGAAATTGCTCTATGGTCTCTACACAATTTTATTTTCATGACATATGCCTTTAACCAAAACTTTAATTTAGTCAGATCACTTTATTATTTGGCTTAATAAATAATGGCCCTAACACATTTAAATTATGTATCATATATATACATGACCCAAATTTTTCCAACAATCTCCCACTGGTCACAAATATATATATGTCCTTACAACCTTACAAATGTGTTAGACTTTATGAGCTCAAAATTGCCATTATATTCCTTTAGCATACTCCAAAAGTCCTGTCCATTAATCATATCAGAATATAGAACCAAACCAGTTTTTCATTGCATCATCGCAACTAAAACCAACAATGATTACTCATCCTAACATAACCAAATGACATGGATTCATCATGAAATGTGTAGCATGAAAAATTACGTGAAGGTGATCTGTACACGTCTATTTTCAACTGGTCCAAACTTTAACTTATTGAGATCGATATAATATCCTTAATATACAAAGTGTAATGAATGAACGAAAAAACCGCATATCTATAGATAACCAAATATGTCCAAAAAACAATGTATACATATATGAAATTAAACATAGAACATAAAATATATGAAAGTGACTAACTCCCACTAAACCACAAATTCCTCAAACCGTAAAACACCCATGTGAGCAAAATGCTCATGAAAGACCTTGGGCGTAAGTCCTTTAGTCGAGGATCTCGATATCATGGAGTTTGTCCTTAAGTGTTCTATGAAAATCTGTCCACTTTGTACTCTTTCCTTAACAATACAGCTGATTTATTGCCACAATATAACTTAAGTGGTCTTTCAATGCCTTTCACAATTTGCAGCCCTGTGACAAAATTTATCAGCCATATTCCATGATTTGATGCCTCATAGCAAGTTACAAATTCTTGACATCCTACAAAATCTGAGTCAGAAAACCCAGCGATCTCCAACTGGTCTGACCTCCTATATGTGAGCATATAATCTTTTATTCTCTTTAAATATCTTATGACCCTTTTTGCTGCTTTTCAATGGTGTATTCTTGGATTGCTTAAATATCTGCTTAGAACCCCAACTATATATGCTATGTCTGGATGCGTACATACTTGGGCATAGATCAAACTCCCTACAACTGATGTATAGGGAATCTTTTGCATTTCCTCAATTTCCAAATTCCCTTTGGGCACTGATTGAGACTAAACTTGTCTCCCTTTAAACTTGTGATACATACAATCATCAATAATATTCATCTTGAAGCCAAATAAGTTTCATACCTTCTAGTAATGGGACAAGTTCCCAAACCTTATTGTCTTGCATGGACTTATACTTATCCTATTGCTTCAATCCACTTTTGAGAGTTAGAACCTTGTATAGCTTGACGGAAGTTAACTGGATCATCTTCCATTATATCATTATTTTCCTCATGTTCCTGAAGAAATACCATGTAATCATCCAAAATAGCACTTCTTCTTTCTCTAGTGGATCTCTGCAAAGTTATTAGTTCATGATGCATAGGTTCTTGAGGATCTTGAGTTTGTTCTTTATGAACAACCAAATCATCTTGAGTAAGGGGTTCATCAACAATGCCTTGTGGAGGTTCCGAACTTACTTTATCAAAAGTAACTATTTGAATCGGTTATGAAATTGTTACCGATTCTTCCTCCAAGATGAAGTTCTTAATCTTATTCTTCCCCCCAAACTCAATATCCTCAAAGAACGTAGCAGTTCCCGTCTCAAAAATTGTCTTTAAGGTGGGATCATAAAATTTATATCCCCTGGATCTTTCAGCATAACCAATAAAATAACTACTTACTGTTCGAGAGTCCAATTTCTTTTCATTTGGCTTATAAGGCCTTGCCTCAGCTGGACATCCCCACACATGGAAATGCTTCAGACTAGGTTGTCGCCCAGTCCAAAGCTCATAAGGTGTTTTGGTAGCTGCTTTAGTTGGTACTCTGTTTAAAATATAAGCTGTCGTATTTAGTGTCTCTCCCCAAAGTGATTCCAGTAAGGTGGAATGACAAATCATACTCTCTATCATATCTTTAAGAGTGTAACACAAGCTCAAACGTCACAATTTGATTGTGACCTGAACACTTGTGTCATAATGCACTTGAGTGAGTATTTTCAATTTTACGTTTAGTACCACATGATTCTGTATTAAGGGTTTCATTATAGGTGGCCACAATATCAAGTAAATACTGATTATCATAAATCAAAAGTGAACCAGTTTCAACAATATCTGAATTAAAAGACAAACTGAACTTATTGTTTCCAAATGAACATAAATAACCTAATTTGTCCAAATAAGAAATTGAAACCAAATTCCGTCTAAATGACGGCACAACAAAAGTGTCTTTCAAATCCAAATAAAAATCAGTACTTAATAACAATTTAAAATGCCCTATAGCTTCCACCTCTACCGATTTGCCATCTCCAACATAAATCCATCTTTCAGAATCAATTGGCTTCCGGTAGCTTAGGCAACCCTTTATAGAAACACTAATGTTAGTAGTTGCACCTGAGTCTAACCACCAAGTGTTACTAGATACTGACGCTAAATTGACTTCAGAACAGACCAAAGTAGGAAATATACTTTTGAGGATCGGAACATAATTTAAATTGGCAGATACAGAAGCAATTGTAGCTGGATTAGAACAAAAGAAATAAACTAATTATGCTCACATTATATAAAAAAATAATTATAAATAAAATATATATTCAAATAATGGTTTAACCCATCTCAAGACACCCAATGCACCATCAATATCAAGTCTTTGGACAGTAATATTAACTGCTAGAGGTATCTTGTTGTAATAATCAAACATTGACAATAAAGCACGTCCAACAACAAACCAGTCTTTGGATTGATTTATCATCGACAAAGCTAATCTTTATAATTATCACATGTTTATCATTACAAGTGTATATGTAATTCGGCCAAATATTAATCTTCCTTTGGGCCGACTAATACTCGCATGAATATACACAAACACTAACATTCAATATTTTTCATGAACTGCCCAATTCAAGAGAAGTTACTTTGGTGACTTCTTGACTCAATTTGCTCACAAAAAATATTAAACTACCAAAAATTGAATATTTTATTTATATAACAAAACCAAATATTTAATATTTGCAAACTAATTCAAAAGAGAATTACCTCATTAGAATTCTACTAAGGATGAACACCTCCCTAAAATCACACTAGGGATGAAACAGAGATAGTTCTGAGTCTCTTTAGCATACTGCTCTAAATCCTAAAAGGGAATTAAACAGTAATCACTCTAACCCTAATTTAACATCAAATTTTCCTTAAATTCCTAAGGGATAGAGGCAATAAAATAATAACAGCCACACATGTGGAAACATTCATCATTTACCTAAGATTCTCTGTGTTGGGAACTCCACAAACACCACCCCCAATTCCAAACTCATAAAATTAAATAAAAACAAAAGATTCAAAAAAGAACAGAGAACCCAATACAAGAAAAATTGAAATATGAAACACTGTTTCTTTCTCGATAAAACTTAAACTCGAAACAAAAGGGAAGAAGAAGAAGAAGAAGAAGAATCCATAGCTTCCTCCACTGGCTCCATCAAGAACAGTAATCAGATTGGGGATGTTACCCCCAAATTTAAATTTTAGGGTTCACAAAAATTAGAGATTATCCTCCACTTATGGTTCATAAAATTGGGTAATTTGAATTGTTTAAAACAAAATTAATCCTAATTTTCATAATTAGGGTTCTATAAATTAAACGAGACATGAATCAAATATGGGCGGCTCGATACCAATTGTTGGAAAAACAATAATAATAATAATAATAATAATAATAATAATAATAATAATCCTGATTTTGATTCTAACGATCAAACATAAACATAATCCCATACTGATAAACATGTCGTAAACCGAATGCGAAAGCGTACTCGAATTAACCATAATGATGATGTCTTTGTATAACACCTGTATTGATCTTATGGTCTTCCACCTGAAGAGCACCTGTATTTCCCTCTTGATTTTCTCTCTTGATGGGGATAGAAAGAAAGGAACAGTGAATGAAACTTACGTTACGTCTATGTGCTCCCGAAGGGGACCATGACCCTTTAGATAACCGAATTAGGTTAATTACTTAAGTTTTAGTATTTCCAATTTGGCCTCTCATCAAATTAGAAATTGCTCTATGGTCTCTACACAATTTTATTTTCATGACATATGCCTTTAACCAAAACTTTAATTTAGTCAGATCACTTTATTATTTGGCTTAATAAATAATGGCCCTAACACATTTAAATTATGTATCATATATATACATGACCCAAATTTTTCCAACAAAAAAAAGTAGTAATATAGTTTTCATTCTAATTTTTATTTTTTTATTTTATGATTATTATTTAAGAAGTATAGGGATGATACATATATTTGATGAGTATTTTTGAAAAAAAAATCTTTAATAGGTAGCATAAAGATAAAAAATCTTTGATACTAAGTAAGTACGTGGGAGAATAGAAAAGTCGAAAGTAAAAGAATGAGTGAAATAAATAAAATATTAAACTTATTTATACATGAGTACGTAACTACTCGAGGTATACGACATATTTCATCCCTATTTGTTAGCGGATATTTTATAATAATTTTTTAGTATCTAAATATTTTGGGGTATGGTTATACTATTAATAAGTCTGAAAATATTAGCAGGTTAGTTAGTTTTGGAGAGGTGTGTTATAGTTTTCTGTCACATATTTCACATATATAAATAAATTATTTCTTATAAACTCAAATATTAATAAAATTGACTACTTTTTTATGTTAATTATGAAAGTTTGTTAATGATATTTAATTTTGATAATCACATTTTTTTTAAATGTCTCTAAAGTGTCCTTAATTGAAACTTAATATAAAGAATATATTAGTAAAAGCAAAAACTTAATTAATTGAAGAGTGTTTTAATATATCATATCAGTAAATAAGTAAAAATATAGTTATCATACTTTATGATTTTTATTACTTATATTTAATTATTGAGGGAGTATTTATAATTTTTTTAAGGTTATCTTCGGTATAAAAAAAGAAAAGGTGAAGAAAGAAAATAAAAGAAAGACAAAGAAAAAAATGATGAAATATAGTGAAAAACCTTCTTGTTAGTTTAACAGAAAAGTAATATAAAAATGAAGAAAAATGTTTATTTTAAAAAATAATAAATAATAAAATTAAAATTAAATATTTTTCAGTTATAAAAATATTCATATAATTATTAATTTTTTATCAATAAAAATAGTTTTTAAAATAATATTTTTAAATTATATATCTCATTTTTTTTCAATAATATATATTTTGATATATTATTATAAAATATTTTTATTATAATTTTTAAAAATTATTTATTTGATTTTTATAGGCATCTACGTATTTATAATATTTTATTAAAGTACTAATATATATATATATATATATATATATATATATTAAAATCATAAAATAATTTATTTAAATGAGAATAAGTTTTTAAAATATTTTTTTTATTTTTTTTTATTTTCCACTCATATATAAGAAAAAACATATGTTTATTAAAGTAATATTTTCTTTTTATTATTTTTCTTATTATTAAATAAGAAAAAATGTTAATTTCTATTTATTTTCTCGCATTCACAATTTCGCAGTTCCGATGGAAGTGTGTTTATTTAAGAATAGGTATGGGTATGAATACTCTTCAATCATATTTTCTGTTGCTATCCATCATATATTCAAAATCACATCTAAATCAAACCTAAAAAGTGCCAACCATTTGAATAATATTTGGTCATGTAAAATTAGTATATATATTAACACTAATAATTACATATTAATAATTTTTGAAATAATGTAAAAACTGTACGATATAAATAACTAAACACGATAAATAAAATAATAATTATCGATGAACATTTTTAGTATTTTCATTCCACTTTTCACATATGACATTTCTTTTTCAATTGAAATTCATGAATATAATAAATAGAAAATAATCAATGAATTAATTAAAACAATCTATAGTAACACTATTAAAATCAATCATCCTCCAAAAATTATAATAATAAAAATGAAGAAATAAACTATTTATAAATATATATTAAAAAATCACTCGTAAATAAATTCCACGCTAGATAATCTAATAAGAAAGTATAATGACTGAGAAAATGTCTAAAGTAACCATAATTTGTGGAAGAAAACATTTTCTCCCAAAAAACACACTATATATATTTTTTTAAAACACCCTAAACAATAAACACACCATATTTTTGGCTTACTTAGAAATTTTTTGTTTGCAGATTTGAAGCTTCTGCTTCTGCAACGTTAGACATTAGGTTTGCCACCTTTCAAGAAGATGAAACCCTAGTTTGTGTATTCCCCAGAGACATGATTGCGTTTTTGTCTTATTCGATTTGTTACGTTCGTATTGTGACTTGCACCCGGTGCACCGTTCACGGAATTATGTACGCCACCGCGTTTCCTCAAAAGCCTTTTACTATTATACAACACTTTCTCTTTCCTTTTAATCACAACATTTTTTATGGATTTTTATTTATATTTAAAGGTTTAGATTATAGATATGTATTTATTATGAGTAAGAATAAACAACTTTATTAAAAAAAATTATGTATCTTGATTGTTCTAAACCAACTTTAAAAGGAGATATATAAACAATAAACATACAAGTATTGTATACATAGTGTGATGTGTAGAAAACATTTTGAAAGCATCGTAATTACACTGAGTAATCCAATGTGCATGATTCTCAAGTTCACCTTCTAAACTGATAATAATGACTAAACAATATTTGTTCTCCATTTTTTAACAAGTTTAATTATGTTCAGAAAAGGAAACTGTGAAAGGGAAGCAAAAGATGCAAAGCTCTCTTTGAATGAATGAATGAAAACCTAACTTTTCTAACTTCATAAAAACTTATTAAAAAAATGCGATACTTTAATTTATGAACATATTTAACTGTTAATTTATTTCTTAAATATTTAGTGGCCCCATCTTGAGGTATAAATTGTGTGGCAAAGTTGAGGTAGCTACTGCAAACAATAGCTATTGTTCAGCAACAAAGCTTTCAAGAGAAATTCACTTTTAAAAATGAGTTCCAAGAATAGTGTTGCATCCATTGGGCTTCTCCTCTCCCTCAACCTCCTTCTCTTTTGCATGGTCAACTGCGGCATCCTTCCCCCTACCCCTACCCCTGAGGCACCAACTAAGTGCCCGCTATTGGAGGTTTGCGCCAGTATTTTGGTGCCCCCTTATAAACCCGACTCTGCTTGTTGCCCCCTCCTCCGTGGTCTTGTTGACCTTGACGCCGCTGCGTGCCTCTGCAACGTTCTCAAGGTCCACGTCGGTGGAATAGTCACAACTCCACCACTATGCACTCTCATCAACCTTCAACTCAACTTATGTGAACGCAATTCCACCAACTGCAATTGCGCATAACAATCCATCCAGTGGGTTACTATGTTTCTTTTTCTATGTATGGATTTCAAGTTAAGGATGTTATCATTTCTGTCTTCTGCGTGTATATGCCAGTGGACACTAAAATATTACCAATAAATTAGTTCTTCACCCACATTCTGCTCTTTTAGTTCTTATCGGTTCCCATCTTATCTTATTTATCTTCCTCCTGCCGCCGTTTTTTGTTTAGCGTTTCTCCTACTCAAACTTTCAATATAAATTTGTACCCACAATAATCTTTAGGAGATCATAACCACTCTGCAAAATCTATACACTACAACTGGTTTGTAAATTGTTTCTAAATTATAATTTAATTAGTAACACTATTACATGAACATTCATAAAAAAAAAAAAAAAATGCCCTACAACCATGGTTACGAACCGCTGTTAATCGAGCCATTGTTGTAGGTTGGATACGATAACGGATATGAACAGTTATTGTATAAGTCTAAATACGATGATGGTTTTCAATAAATATTTATTGTTCTATGTTACATATAACCACACGTATATCACATATAACATCATTAAAATATAATTATTAGAATATGTAAGTATTCTTTTTTTTATATATATTTCATTTTCGTTCGATAAATAATAATTTGGAATTGGGCCGTGTATTTATTTTTGGAAATAAACAGAAATAATCTAATGAAATATTTTTATTAATATATCTGTCTTCAAATTTATCAATCTTAATATTATTAATATATATGAAATTAGTTGAACTAGAATAAGATGAAGTCTTTCACATATCTTCGTACATGTAAAAGTTTTTATTCCAACCTAATAAATAGTGTCTTCTAATTAATCATTTATGATTGAATCAACCAAATTATTGTATTTATTTATGACTAGCAAATTTAATACTTCCTCGTTCCATGTAGAAGTTAATTGTATAACTTTTATAAAAATCATCACATTTTATAATTTCTTCGTTGTTTAATATTTTTCCATTCAAACCATTAATATATAAACACCTAAATCTTTCACGTAAAAGTGCTGTGTTGTAAAATTATTCTATTTCTTTCTTATACTCATTGTATAACATCAATCCAAAATTTGTTGAAAACTTTGCAACATAACATTTAAAATTTATAAACAGAATTTGTCAAAGATAGACAAGAACTTAACAAAAATTCATTCAATATTACAAAATTATTATTATTATTATTATTATTATTATATAATCACACAAAAAAATGACTAAGAATAATGATGAGAACTTATTATCTAGTTTGAATACAACTATCCAAAATTACCACCATTGTCAAATACAACCACCACTGACCAGTCCAACACCATAAGCATTGACCACCACCACTGTGCAACATGCACCTGGAGGAAGCAAAAAGAAGATGAAGCCACCACCACTGTCCACAATGGACCACCACTAGCCATCACGACCAACAACAATTAACACTGACCTCGAGGAAGGAGGGAGAAGACAATGTCACCCACCTCTGTCCACAACGAACCACCACCAATAACCACTAACACCACCACGCGAGACGACCAAAGAGTAAGGAGAAGGACAAGCGAAGTGAAGAAGGAGAGGAAAGCAAGGAGGGAGAGGATAACGAGAAGGGAGATGAGAGTGTGACGGAGATGACTACAAAGTAGATGAGTGTGCGAGGAAGTGAGTTGGGGTTCTGTAACGACAGAGAGAGAGGGAAGAGTAGTGGAGATCGTGGCGAAAATGAGTAAAGAAAAAGGGGTGTAATCATCTATCATCAAATATTCATCGTCTTACATATTCGATAACTGTTATATGAGTAATCATCGTTATATATAACCATCGTTTAAAATATTAGGTCTAATTTAAAAAATGTTACTGCATGACTTTTAAATAAGTTTTTAGAACAACAATGAAAGTTATCGTCTTTACCTTATTTTAAATTAGTGTAAATATATTTTAATTATTTAAGTTTTAAATCAACATAAAAAAAATTTAAATGTTAAATGATGAATGAGTTAAAAAATATAAACTATCTAAATTAAATAAATGTTAAATGATGAATGAGTTAAAAGATATAAACTATCTAAATTAAATAAATGTTAAATGATGAATGAGTTAAAAAAATATAAACTATCTAAATATATATTGTTATTTTGTCTCCATCTTATTTAACCTGTTTAACTCATTATGGGTTGAGTCAAATCTAGTTTACCCAGGACTAACGAGTAAACTGATGCAATAATTTCATAAAATAATAATTAATTTTAATTAAAAATAAAAATTATTTTATTATATAAATATATATAATTTATATATAAATTTACATGTTTAAAATTCAAATTAATTTTATTAATATAAATTAAAAGTGTATTTACTCATTGTTTTATTTAATTTATATAATGTATTATTTCCATTCAATTCTACTATGTTTTTAAATAATTAAGTATACTGGAATTAAAAGTATATTTATTTAACAAATATTTTTGTTAGAAACAATAGTTGAATTCAAATTAATTAAAATTTCAGTAAAAACATACAACATTAAAACAAATTGTTCATTTTTAAAAGAAATTTAAAGATAAAGATTAGTTATCTTACATTTTAAGAAATATTTGTTTTAATTCAAAATTTAAATATGTAAAAATAGAAAGAGAGTTAGATCTAGTTCTCTATTGACCTTAATTAAATTAGTTCACTAATCATTCAAAATTTTAGGTACCGCCATTATCAAGCACTTATACATTAAGAAAATAGTAAAAATCAACAAACTCTTTGAATATATATATATATATATATATATATATATATATATATATATATATATATATATATATATATATATATATATAATCTTTTAAGATTATTAGATATTTTGAAACTTTTTCAAATTGATTTAATAAAAATAGTTTGAGATCACTTTTATGAATTACTATAAGATTAATTCGTTAAAAAATAACGTGTTAAAATATATCACACAATAAATAATAATATTTTTTATTGATTGCTTTTAATTAATTAATAAAATCATTAAAAAATATCTTCTAGTAATTTTGTTTGATTAAATGCGACAGCATGTAAAAGTTAAACTAGTTCTAAGTGAAGTTGATTAATCAAAACTTGATTTTAATAAATTAAAAAAAGTTTTTTTTTCTTTACACTTCTACAGCAATTGTACATTTTAATAGATTAAAATCAAGGATGACAATTAAATCCGTATCCATGGGGACCAATCCGTCCCTGTCCCGAGTTTGACTGGGAAAAACCTAAGTTGACCGTGGGTGGGGACGGGTTCGAGTTTTCCTTGCTTTAAAAAGTCGGGGCAAGAACGGAGATGAGTAATGCAATCCCCACTTCGACCCCGACCTCGTCCTCGTCCTCGTCCCGACTTTATATTTAAATTTAAATTTTAAAATATTAATATTTTAAAAGTTGTTAGACAAATGACATCTAGAGGAGGGTGAATAGATGCACAAATTAAAATAGATGTCAAATTAAAAATTTATTTGTGAGTCAATAATTTGTTAAAGTGGAAGCAATAATATAATCAGGAAAGGAGAAAGAGGTAAGGGAAAGAGAAGAACACACAGAGATTTATACTGGTTCGGTATAGCCAACCCTACATCCAGTTCCCAGTCAACTCTTAATACAAGAGTGACTTCCCATTCACTATCTTTCAAATTCAGTTTACAAATTACAATCAACTCAGCAGAAGAACCAGTAAAAAGTAAACTAATTAAAAAGACAATAACCTCCTTAGAAACCCACTAAGGATGAACACCTCCCTAGAATCCCACTAGGGATGAACACCTCCTCTGAACAAATCAAAGGATGAAAACACCTCCTTAAAATCTCACTAAGGATGAACACCTCCCTAGAATCACACTAGGGATGAAAAACACCTCCTTTTCACCAATACAAAAATGATGAAGGTAATAAAAATAAGAACAGACACACCTGGATAATGGAGACAACAAATTGTAGAAGCCTGTAGAATGTCAATCTCCAAGAACAAGTGTGATTAACAATGAAAGTACAAAAGACAGTAGAGAAAAGGGTTTTCTCAAAAGGTGTAAAATATCTCTGTTGCCTTGCTTAGAATTCTTTTCTCAAAACTGATTAAATGTAAATTGTATTTTCGAATTCTGTAATTGTGTCGTTTTGATTTTTCAACAAAACTTAATTAAATAGAAAAATAGCATCAGAAAATGGTCGTTGGACATTAATAATATCATAGAGAAAATCAGGATGTATTCAAAAACATTTATTCTTTAAAACGGATATATTTTTCAAATTTGAATTGTCATAATTGATTATATTACCAAGTATAATTAATTATGATAGAGAAAATTATTTTTTCATTTCTAGTGTATCATAATTAATTATGACAGTAAAAAATATCATGTTATGAATTTTATCACATTGTCACCTACGTCATAAATTCAGCTTTGTCCTTAAATTCATCTTGAATGGTGTTGACTTGAATGTAGTTGATTTGAATCATCATCAAAATCATCTCTTGGGAATGGAGGAACATTTTCATCAATCTTCCCCTCATTGCTTTCAATCTCCCCATTTTTTATGATGATCAAGGAAACACCTGAAATGAATTAAAATGTTTGACTCTATATAGTCAGCTCAAGATTAGCACAGATTTGTATCAAATGTCAGAGTCTCTTAATCTCCGCCTGGATATATTAATAACAAGACTCCCCCTAACTCATATGAGCAAATACTTCTCTTAACTCTCCTTGTTTAATTTAGATAGGAAAGAATTTCACACAGATTTTAATTCATAAAAAAATCTCCCCCTGTTTCATTGATAAACATAAAAAATATTATAAGAAAAAATCTTCCTCTGTTTCACACAGATTAATATAATCAAAATATCTCCGTGTTTCATTGATAATTATGAAAAATATTATAAGAGAAAAAAAAATTCCCCCTGTTTCACACAGATTAATATCATCAAAATATCTTCCTGTTTCATTGATAATTATGAAAAATATTGCATTAAAAAGTGTCTTAAATCAAGGTAGAGAAGATAATGCATTAAAAAGTGTCATAGAAAAGAATATCATATTAAGGAAACAATTTCTAGGATACCCAAGACAAATGAAGAGAGAGAAAGATAGGGGAATAAAATGATTATAGAGATAATGAAATTAAATGCAGTAGTTTCCCTCCATTGCAGTCTTCTTATTTAGGCAGTTTTCAAATTCAAATGCACTCATATTGCAGATTTCAAATTTCAAATTCAAATTGCAACAAATTTCAAATTCAAATTCCAACCAATTCCAAATTTCAAATTCAAATTTCTAATCCCAAATTTCAAATTCAAATTTCAAATTCCAATTCAAATTCAATTTAAAAAATCTCAAACTGCAAAAATTTCAAATTTCAAAATCTCAAACTACAAAATTTCAAATTTCAAAAATCTCATACTGCAAAAAAAAAAAATCTCAAACTGCAAAATTTCAAATTTCAAAAATCTCAAATTTCAAAATTTCAAATTTCAAAAATAGCATACTGCAAATTTTAAAAAAAATCTCAAATTGCAGAATTTCAAAAATCTCAAATTGCAAAATTTCAAATTTCAAGAATCTCAAACTGCAAAATTTCAAACTTTAATAATTTCAAATTTTCATAAATTTAAACTTTCAAAATTCAAACTTTCAACATAATTGAATATGACAACAAGAAAAAAAATTTGATTCTGATAATCAATTAGATGCTCAAATTATCATCTAGACATGTATAAATGTTTTGTTCCTTTAGACACTCATTCATATTTGTCATTAGATATGCCAAAATGTTTTATGTAACATCTATTTGATGTATGACCTAATTTCATGCAATAAAAACATGTTGGTTTTCTTTGAAAAAGTCTAAATACGTTTCTTAAAGTTTTTGAAATTGGTTTCACATCTGTTTTCTTTAACTCTTTCACAAAAATAGTTTTATGAGGTTCTAGAATTTCTTTGGATTTGTAACCAAATCCAGCTTTGCTAGAATTTCCTCTTTGATAATCTAATATCGAATCAAGATTTTCAGAAGATTTTGAAAAATTGCTTATTATTTTCTCTAACTTGAAAATCTCATTTTCCAAAATATTACAATTTTCACAAGGTTTAACAACTTTTTTATTTTTAGACAAAGTTTTAGATTTCTCAACATCTTTCTTTAAGCACTCATTTTCTTTTTCAATAATACCAACAGTATTTTCTAATGCATTAAACTTTTGCCTAAGTGCATTGTATTTCTTAGATAATTTGGTAAAACCTTCATACATATCTTGATATTCTTTAAATAACTCATCATATTCATTTAAGGAATTTGTACTACTTACCTGTGATGAGGCTTCATCATCACTTTTTGTCATCAAGCAAAGATTTGCTTCTTCTTCTCCATCACTGCTTTCGGAAGAACTCTCTTGTGTTG